TTTTATTTCTAAATTATTTCACATTTAGGGAAACACTGCAAAGTATTACAAAGTTTTCTGTTCCTCCCTTCAGTCAGATTGTCTAAATGTTAGCATTCTACCACATTGGCTTTAGCATTCTCTCTAAGTGTTTATAGATTTTTTTTCCTAAACCAATGGAGGAAAGCAGTAGACAAAATATTTCTTTTTTTTTTTTGAGTTGGAGTCTCACTCTGTCACCCAAGCTGGAGTGCAGTGGCATTTCCAAGTAGCTGGAGCTACAGACACATGCTATCACGCCCAGCTAATTTTTGATTTATTGTAGAGACGAGATCTTGCCAAGTTACCTGGGCTGGTCTTGAACCCATAAACTCAGGCAATCCATTTGCCCTGGCCTCCCAAAGAGCTGGGATTATAGGCTGACCCACTGAGCCTGGCCAATATTTCTTTATTTCTAAATATCCCAATGTGCCGTTTTCTTTCTTTTTTTTTTAATATGAGAATTCTATAATTTATTTATTTCCATTATGTGGAGTACAATTCAGGATTAGGTATACAAATGTTCATTGTGCAGGTACCCTTGTTGATAAGGCGTGGTCTCCCCTCCCCTGGCAGTTTCCCACTACGGTCAATCCCCTTCTTATAGTATTATGATAGCTGTTCAAGGTCCACTTATGAGTGAGAACATGTGATACTCAGTTCTTTGTTTATGTGATAGATCACTCAATATTATAGCCTCTAAGTTCATCCAAGTTACTGCGAAGTTCATAGTTTTTTTCTTCTTTATGACTGTGTAATAGTCCATCGTGAAGGATAGTTTTTCCAGGCATAGCATTCTTCACTAGAAAGTTTTTTCATTTAACATTTGAATAAATCATCCCTTTCTTTCCTGGCTTGTAAAGTTTCTACTGAGAAATCCACTGTTAGTCTGAGGATTCTCTTGTATGTGACCTGACACTATTTTCTTGTTGCTTTTGGAATTCTCTCTTTGTCTTTGACTTTTGGTAGCTTGATTCTGAGTGTGTGTTAAAGAAAACTTTTTGTATTGCATCTATTTGGGAATCTTTGAGCTTCCTATAGCTGCATGTCTATATCTCTTTCAAGACTTAGGATGTTTTAAACTACCATTTTTTTGAGTGGATTTTCTGTGCTTTTGCCCATTATTTCTCCTTCTGCAGCACCAAAAGGTCTAAATTTCGAACGCTTTATGGTGTCCTACATGTCACATAGTTTTCTTTATTCTTTTTTTTTTCTTACTGGTTATTTAAAAATATCTATCTTCACATTCAGAAAGTCTTTCTGCTGCTTGATATCGTCTATTTTGAAGCTCTTAATTGTATGTTTGATTATTTTCCCTTTTCTACTTTGTGGGGTGATTTATTTTATTTTATTCATTGCTTTCTTCAGTTCCGGGCTTTCTGTTAGTTGTATTTTTTATCCTGTCTATCTCTTTAATAAATTTCTCATTCAGATCATGAATTCTATTTCTGATTTCTTTATATTGTTTATCTCCATTCTCTTGTATCTTGCTGATCTTTAAAAATATTGTTATTTTGAATTCTTTTCAGGCATTTCATATCTTTCTTTTCCAATAAAATCTGTTTCTGGGCAACTATCATGTTTATTTTGAGATGTCATGTTTCCTTGCTTTTGTATGTCTCTTGTGTCTTTGTGTTGATTTCTGCACATATGATGCAACAGTGGTTTTTTCTAATTTTGTGGATTGGCTTTCATAAGGAGAGACTATTTCCAATAGATGTCCCTGTAGCGTCAGTGCTGTAGAGTGCTTTGGCTTTCATTCTGAGTGTGTGTGGCACTGTCATCTCCATACAAATTTTTCCGTGGCAATCGGTGCTAGTGGTGTCTGTGAGTTTCTCAGTGGCCCAGGATGCTGAACCAGGACATTAAAGATGCTAGAGACTGCTTTTAGCCTAACAGACTTAAATAAGTCTAAGGCATTTTGTTGAGTGAGAAAATGAGTAAGTGAGAAACTGGACTTACACTTCAGGTTCCAGGTCAACATGGGAAAGATTAGGAAACGCATCCTCTACACACAGGATGCAGCAAATTACAATGCTTGCTCAGAGTTTTCACTTTTGAAGTTTAAAAAGAAATATTCCTATTTCTAAGTTTCAGTTGTGATGTTTTTCACTATGCGGACGAAGTGCCAGAAATGTGTATCCACTGAAGAGTTGAACAGGGAAAGGTGAAGAGGAAATTACTGCTTTTTCAGAGGGTAAACGATTATGAAATTTTAGATGGCAATTAGGAAAAGAAAGTCCCGGTTGGGAGAGTTAGAATTTGAGAAACAAGCTTCAGATCTATGGGAAAGGAAATCTGGGCCAGAGAGCAGCCTGTGTGAAATCTGTACTGCTGGCCTTTTTGATGTGAGCTCATGACTTTCTGTGCAGGGTCCAAGCCCCAGGTGGTACATTAGGTCATGTTAGCCACAAAGGCTCAGCCAAAATTAATGGTTCGTGTGGCACATGTTACATTCTAAGTTAAACTTTTAATAATTTTGTCTAATCATCCCATTTTCAGTGATTTTTAAAAGTGATTTTGCTAGCCTGGCTCGGTGGCTCAGCCTGTAATCCCACGCCTTTGGGAGGCTGAGGTGAGTGGATTGCCTGAGCCCGCGGGTTCGAGACCCGCCTGGGCAGTGAGACCTCCTCTCTGCAATAAATCAAAAAATCAGCCGGGCGTGGTAGCGCATGCCTGTAATTCCGGCTACTTGGAAGGCTGAGGCGGAAGGATCACCGGAGCCCAGCAGGTCGAGGCTGCGGTGGCCGGGAGCAGCCACTGCACTCCAGTCTGGGCAACAGAGTGAGACTCCAACTCAAAAAAAAAAAAAAGTGATTTTGCTTTTTTGGGAAAAAAAACAAAACTCATTTTAGGTTAGAAGTTGATCGATAGCCACTGTCTTGTCTCATATCCCCACTTCTTGTTCAAACTCACCCGCAGCATGTTGGCTTTGAAGACAAAAAAAAAAAAGGTAAAACAGAACTCTCTTGTTCTGTCTCTTAAATCTGTAAAAGTGGTCACAGGGAGCAGAAGTTGAGATAAAGTTGTAGAAATACCTGCCAAGAATTTAACAGTTCTTGAGAGAATTCAAGTAAGTACCAATTGCCTGATGGTGAATACTTAGGTGGCCTGATAAGCCCACATTTCAAAGCTGTCCAGGAGAAAGAAAGAAAAGGCTATTCATTAGCTCATGCTACAGATCGGACAGTTTGAATCAGCTGCATGAACCGCATGAGCCAAGGCCCCATTTCTGCTTCTCTCCCTCTCTCTGTCTTTGAGTTGGAGTCTCCCTCTGTCGCCCAGGCTGGACTGCAGTGGCACACTCATGGTCACCCTAGTGTTGACCTGCGGGCTCTGGTGATCCTTCTGTCTCAGCCTTCCAAGTAGCCGGAACTACAGATGTGCACTACCATATGTGGCACATTGTAGATTCATTGTAGAAACGAGGTCTTACCAAGTTGCCCGGGCTGGTCTTGAACCTGCAGGCTCAGGCCATCTACTCACCTCTGCCTCCCAAAGTGCTGGGATAACAGGCTGAACCACTGAGCCCGAACTTCTCTCTTGGTGCTGAGTACAACTGTTCCTTTATGGGATTCTACATCAGGCAAGAGGAAGATACTCTTTATGCTGTTCACAAAGTCAGAACCTCAAGTTCTGAACACTGAGCACTTGTCTGACAGAGATCTGGGGTGTTCTACTGAGGCAAACCCAAGGCGCATGAGATTTAGCAAATGACCTGGCTATCATCTGAACAGGGATTACACACTGTTTCTGAAAGTATAAAACCATGGAACTTTCTTCAGGAACATGTTTTTTTTTTTGAGTTGGAGTCTCACTCTGTCGCCCAGACTGGAGTGCAGTGACCGCTCCTGGCCACTGCAGCCTTGAACTGCTAGGCTCCGGCAATCCTTCCACCTCAGCCTTCCAAGTAGCCGGAATTACAGGCATGTGCTACCATGCCCAGCTGATTTTTTTATTAATTGTAGAGATGAGGTCTTGCTGCCCAGGTGGGTCTCGAACCCGCAGGCTCAGGCAATCCACTCACCTCAGCCTCCCAAAGGCGCGGGATTACAGGCTGAGCCACCGAACCTGGCTTCTTCAGGAGCATTTTTACCAATGGAATCGAACTGGTGCTTGCAGAAGAAGATATACGGGCAGCCAATTGACACATGGAAAAAGTGCTCAGTCTCACTCTTCATCAGAGAAATGCAAATCAAAACCACATTGAGATACCACCTAACCCCAGTAAGAATGACCATCATTAATGAAACAAACAACATCAGATGCTGGCAAGGATGTGGAGAAAAAGGAATGCTTCTACACTGCTGGTGGAAACGCAAACTTGTACAACCTCTCTGGAAAACAGTTTGGAGATTTATGAAAGAACTAGAAATTAACCTTCCATATGACCCAGCAATTCCCCTATTGGGATATACCCGGAGGAACTCAAATCATTCTACAAAAAAGATA